AWKSCYTTTTTTATTTATATTYATGTGGTGCTGAGGATTGAACCCAGTGCTAGGCAAGCGCTCTATCATTGAGCTGCAGCCCTGGTTACTTTTGTTAGGTATTGGATATTGTGAATGTTTGATCATTGAGTGTTTGGATTTTATTGTCTTGAGAGAGTTGACTTTTGTTTTGGCAGGAAATTAATTTATAGAATAGATTGGTCTTCATGAGCCTGGTGTTTTAGCTWTGTTGAAGCATGCCTAGAGTAGGCTTTAGTCTCTGGCTAATTTGGCCCTACTACTAAGGCCTGGCTTTTCTTGCACCTGGAATACCTGCRTATTCTATGAAGTGTCTGCTGTGGCTGGTCAGAGCTTAGGTGTTTTTCAACCGTGTTTGAACTGTGGCAGTTGTTTAGCTTACAATTTTTCTTTGCTTTTGGAATTCAACTCCCTGTCTACAGTTTACTATTCACCCCAGGATTCAAGGGGGACCCCTCTTGAGATTTCTGATCTTCTACTGTGAGGTTTCTTCCTCTTAGATGCTGTGCCTAACAGATCTCRGCCACCTCAGTCTTCCTGAACTCCAGGCTGTCCTGGCTTCTCCTTGAAAGCCTTGCTCTATACCATTATCTTGAAARTGCCTCTAGGTAGAAAACTGCCAGCTTCTTCTAGTTTTCCTAGAGCTCCCTTTCTAATGCTGCCTCTTGCCTAGTTTTTGAAAACACTTGGCTCAGGCATTTCACCGCCTTTTCTCATTACTGACAATGGGAGAGTGAGTCCTATACCAAGTACCCTGTTATATGTGGCTGGAAGCAYAAGTCCCAGATGCTTTATCTACACAGGTGCCATCTCATTTAATCCCTACAAACTACTAGCTACCAGTTACCCCCCCAACCCCACTTAACAGAATTGGCTTCTTTAGATTTACCAACATGCCCACACTTAGATAGCTGGTAAGCATTAGGGAAGTGGAACAGATCCTAGTGGGTATGGTTAATGAAGTGTACAGAGAGCATAATGTGAGCTCCAAGCCTGGCTATTTGGCTCTGTCTTTCCTCTCTCAGTCCCTTAGACTAATCTCATGAGACAGCTCTACTTGTCATGTGTTGTGATTATATTTGGATTTTCTTCTATGAAGGAGAGAGAGGCTGAGGAAGGAAAGGATTGATGGAGATATCAGACCATTTCTTCTTTTTCATAATTATCTGTACAAGTCCATTTCTTCATCTCAGAAATAAGGACTTGGAGCAGACAAATAACCTACAGATAAATATGTCATAGGCTGGACAAGCTTTCTATGAAGAATTTTCAGTAGTGGATATTTTTTTGCCTCTCTTTGTCTTATTATTATTATTTGAATGACGTATAATTCAAATAATCACCATTTACCTCACAGTGTGATAAATACAAAAATAAACTTCTCTCCAAGCAGTTTATTTTTGGAAAGTGGAAGACCACCCTCATTTTAAGCTGTGCCTATTGATTATTATTCAGGAAATCATTTCCTGACCGAGTCTTGCCTGTCAGGTCAGCACCCATGAGCCTTACAAATCTTTTATAAAGCATTCCTTCTCAGCCTTGCCCTCTTTAACATGTTGCAATTTCATGAATGCTTGTTGCTCCTCTATTTTTCAATGATGTTGTCAACAGTTGAAATTCATGGGCTTGGAAGAGACTTAGATTTTTCATAAATAAAATGAATTCTTCTTTATTGGGAATATTTGAACTCTGATTGGGAAAAGTATAAAACTAGCATACTTAAATGCTTTGCACAAGCAAAGGGCTAGTCAATATTCTAGAAACTGTTGAATAAAGGAGTCTTTTAAAGGAAATTGCACTTTTTAATTTAACTGAACAAAATTGTRCACTCTCACTAGCACATTTATCAAGCATCTTTTATGGGCTAGCACTTTCATATACTTTATTTCACTTAATCCTCTTGACAGAATACTGAAGAATATAGAAGTGAAGTGACTTATATATAGTCATTTGACAAGTGATACTATTGCCATCCCTGATTAGATCTTCTTACTTCCAAGCTGGGGATCATGTAATTGCAGTTATCCTACAATGTGAGCAGTGGTTAGAAAATAGTAGTGGCTGACTGTTAAGTACCAGCTGCACACTATCTCTGTCCATGTCTCTCAATAGGCTAGTGATTTTGAGAAGCCTKGAGCCCCAAGAACATTTCTTACACTAACACAGTATCAATTTGCCTTTTATAGTAAAGGGTAATGGCAATAGTTGTTGGAACTGTTCTCATGCTCATCTTCCTTGAAGTAAATTAACCTGTCTCCTGACCAAGGCTAAAAATTCATTTTTAAAAATTAGGAAATACATCAGATGCCAGACAAATGGAATTCTTCACTTCCCCCAACTACTTCATTYGTGAGTAAATCAGTAGTACCCTAGGATCCAAAACTTGTCTCATCTCAGATATATGCCAATGTTCCACAAGTGCATACCTTGTGTTTGCTGTGCTTCTGAGCATCCCTGATCCTTTCAAGGAAGGTTGCACACATGTGAGATCTCACTCTAGCATGAGGATTTTAAATGAATAGTCCCAGCAGTAAGCTGTTAGAATATATATTCTTTCAAACTGTGGATTAGAATCAGATTYACAATCTGTCTGTGATTTAACTTACATTGATGTTACTTTTCTCCTTTTTTTTTTTTTTTTAAGTGTTGGGAATCAAATCCAGGGCTTCAAGCATGCTAGGCAARCATTCTACCACTGAACTACATCCCCAGCCTCCTTAGATATTTAAAACTGAGGACTTTTCCTAAAATTGATTTGTATAGATTTATTTTCTTTCATTGAGCCTTTCTTATTTAATGACCATGAAAAAKTTACATGAAAGTTTTAATTACTTTTTCCTCATTTCAGTTGACACACATCTACCATATCATCCATGCATTCAACTAYCTAAAAGCAAAAGAGTCAAAAGAGAAGTTAGGTACAGCTGTGACACTGYCTGTACCTTGAAACTGCTTCTGCAGGCTTATTTACCTATTTATATCATCTTCAAGTAGAAATGCTTGATGTAGGACATTATCACTTATCTATACCTTTTAAAGCAATTGAGAATATTATCATTCCTCAATTATTCAGTGTCTTCTTCTCATCATCTAGTTTGATTCTTAGAGAAGTTTTACTTGCTATGACTTAACCTTCAAGTTCCAATTTATGAGTGAGTACATGCCCCTGCCTGGAAGTTGAGTTGGAGGTGGGTCTTGTGATTGTTGAGATGACCTATATGGTGCCTGAGATTCCTCAATATGTATTTTTTTTGACAAATAAAAAGGCATTTTATCTATTTTTCTAATTTTCATCCTGTTAAGACTTTCATAGTTTCAGGATTTCATGGTTACTAAAAATACAATAATGAGCCCGGTGTGGTAGTTCATCTGCAATCCCAAAAAATTGGGTGACTTAAACAGACTAGCCTGAAAATCTTATTAGCAAAACCCTGACTCAAAATAAAAATTTTAAAAAAGGGATGGGAATGTAGCTCAGTAGTAAGTTCCCTGGGTTCAAACCCCAGTTCCAAGGGGGAATAGAACCAAGAATAAGAACATTAGATATTTTATTTTATTTTAGAAAATATAGTGACCATTCTTTTTCTGTTCTCCCTGGTAAAGCTTAGCAATTCTATTACGTACATAGTAATTTCCAGATTTTAGAATTTACTACTTCTCAGAAATTTTTGTTTGACCCTAGTTTCATTTCTGAAACTTTTGAAACTATTTCCAAAATGTTGAAAATTCTCAGTAAAACTCTGGGATTTCCAAAGATCCCCAGCAAATGGTGGTCAAGTAGCATATGTTGTATGAGGTGRGACGTGAAGAGGAAAGAAATGTCTAGAAACAGCAAAGTAAATTATCTCTTGGGTCGTCTTCCATCTCAGTTTTTCTCTCTGACAATAATCCTTTTTATATTAGCTATATAAAGCAAAATGTTACAAATTAATACAAGTGACAATTTTTTCTTCTTGCTCATTAATTTTGCTTAAAAATTACTTGAAACACTGGTAAGTATACATCAAATGTGACACATTCACCTTAAAATTTTAAAATGCACTAATCAGTTCTGTAYATATTTATAGCAGGGATCTTTAACAGTAGATAAGTTCTTCTTACTCAAGTCCAATCTTAAACAGTAGAGTACTTTATTGTAGTAAAATGCTGCAGTTTTTTTGTGGTGGTGATATTGAGATTTGTAAGATTCTTTTCTTGGGTAGTCATACATGGGTACATATTTCTGCAAACTTTTTTATTTTTGGTACCAGGGATTTAACTCAAGGGCACTCAGCCACTGAGCCACATCTCCAGCCCTGTTTTGTATTTTATTTAGAGACAGGGTCTCACCAACTTGCTTAGAGCCTCACTAAGTTGCTGAGATAAGCTTTGAACTCATGATCCTCCTGCCTCAGCCACCCAGGCCACTGGGATTATAGGCGTGCACCACTGCATCCAGTTTATTTCTGCAGTTTTTAAAAAGTAATCTTTGCTTTGTTCTATTTTTAACTTATTTTTAAACCCTAGTATTTTATATCAGCTTCAAAATTAATACCTTCTAATAAGCTCAAGCTTGAAATTAGATATCTAGAACACCTTTCTAAAGCTGTCTGTAAGCCACAATTGTAGTCTGTGCTGGGGGCAGTATCTAAGGGCCATTGAGCTACTTCTGTGGTGCTACTGCCTTAGAATTACCTGGAGTGTTTATTAAAAACAGATTCCTCTGTTGAGGCCCCATACCCAATGTRCAGCACTCCTGCTGTTGGGGCCTGGGATTCTGCCTTTGAGAACTATTGCCTTTGTCTTATACCATCTTTCTCTAAAATGCAGCAAAATGTTCTGGTCTTCAAAAATATAGTTGATGGAGGGTTGTGCCCAGACTGAAAGTACTTCTGTTCCTTTTGTGGTTTATAAACCATGTCTTTCAAGTCTAAACTGATATTCYCTTTGATTTGGGTAGTCAGTAACTCTCTTCTCTGGTTTCCAAGAATTTGTGGTCACATTGATTCTGAATCTATTTTTGTTTAGGCAGTASAAGTTCCCCACCGCCCAACCTATTAAAAAAGGTGAAAACACAACACATACCTTTAAGTCTTTAAAAAAATTGTTGTACATTCCTAAAATACCTTTGTGCTTCAGAGTTTCAGATTTGTTATCATTGTGTGTTAAGAACAGTTGTCTTGCTTGAATTGGAAGTATTAGAAAAAGTTTCTTTTCTCTCTCTCTCTCTCTCTCTCTCTCTCTCTCTCTCTCTCTCTCTCTCTCTTTTATATATATTTTTAGTTGTAGATTGACATAATGCCTTTATTTTATTCATTCATTTTTATGTGGTGCCAAGGATCGAACCCAGTGCCTCACATGAGCTAGGCAAGTGTTCTTCCACTGAGCCACAACCCTAGCCTCTAGAAGTAGTTTCTTAACTTGATATTTATGTGCAGAAATCAGGAGTCAGGGAACTTGGATAATCATWTTGTCATTACTTTCACAGAGCTTAGGTCAAAATTTAGAAATTCCTTCAATTGTGAATATAGACAACAAACCATAGTACTAACTGCTCTGCCTATGATTCTGTTGTCCATAAAAAGGAGATGTTTTCATATCACATTATCTATTGGTGCATCTATCTTAGAATATTGCTTGGACTTATCATTCCTTCAGAATTATAATAGAAGTAGATAAATTATTAGATCTTATAAATTTTATGTGTATTGTATTTTTACATTTTCTGTATAATTGATTTATTTTGAAATTGTACATTTTTTAATTCATTAACAAATATTATTCTGAGAAGAAATCCAATTTCATAGGCCTCCTAGACTGCCAAAAAAGATTGGTTATTTTTTAAAAAGGAAAGTATTAAAACCTACAGTGGGTCTTGTTTAGATCTTTTCTTTCCAAATAATTTTCTTTCCTTTTTCCTTTTTTCCCCTGAGATATTTATCTTAAATGAATTAGTTTTCCTATTCTGATAGTCATTTCATCATTTTGTATTTTTTCACTGTAGCTGACTCCACTGGAACCCATTCTCTGTACACAACATACAAAGACTATGAGATTATGTTCCATGTGTCTACCATGCTGCCCTATACACCCAACAACAAGCAACAGGTAAGAGATCTTCATGTTATCAGTGCTTCCCCCCCTTATTTCATTTCCCCGAGAAGCCTAAGTGGCAAGTTTGTAAAATTTGAAACCAGAATTTAGTGTTGCACCTGTCACCGCAGCAGGAAGCTTTGTGATTTGTGCTCTGTGGAAACAGGAATAGCAAATGAGTGGAAAACAAATGAAGAGACACAGATTCCAGGTTAACAGCCAGCTGGATGGCTTTGCAAATTAATCATTTGCTTTTCACCCACAGGGATTGAGGTTTTCATGAAATCTGAAGAGAACAAGTTGAAATYGTGATTAGATGACTCTGCAGGGTTGCAAAGAACATGCAGGAAGTGGGTGAAATTTCTCAAGAGGCCAGTGCAGAAAGCAGCAAAGTACTGATTCTTCATTTAGATTTCAAGGGAGATTTAGTCTAACTTAGAGAAAAGTCACAGTGTCAGTAGAATCTCAGAATAATGTTCTGTCATAGCATGTTCATCAGGAGATGTCAAGGACCTTAAATAACAACTGCATGTGTATGTGTCACACAATGTTGTCTGTCTTAAAAAGATCTAAAAGCAYAGTGTGCCATTACTAAAATTTGAAATAGTAAAGTGCAACAACTAAGAAGTATGATCATTACAGAGTAAAATGGAAACTGGCAGTATTGTTTTTGAGAATATGTGGTAGGTTTTTTTTTTTAATTCAAAATAAATAATACCAACTAGAGAACTAAAAAGACTCTCCTTTCAAAGCTATTAAAAACATGAACAGTCCAGTTTTACTTGTGACCTTAAAGTGGATGTAGATTTTTGTTATTGTCAATTGTTGTACTAACAGAACTCAGGCCAGCTGCAGAATGAATCACATCCTCTTTCACAAAATTTTACCAAACACTGATCTAATCTAGCACTTCATCGCTTTAGGTTTGAGTAAATCACAAATCTAAGTAGTGAAAGTTTCCTTTCAAGATTATCATATTAATAAAAAATAGGACAAAAAGTARTGAATCAGTTATAAATCTAAAATGAACCTGTTTTAAGATAAACTCACTTGTTGACACTTTGCCTTATGCAAACTCCAAGTTCTAGATTTCTCTGAGAAAAAATATACGATGCTAACAAGACTTCTTATTGTGACTAGTCAGTAGAMAAAAAAAAAAAAAAAATTAAGAACTTTAACAAATTATCTTTAATGGGGAGATAAAAGGCTTATTCTGCCTGAATACTCAGAATAGAAAGATCAGATTTGTGAGGGTAAAAAATTTAATAAGATTCAGTTATTTCTAAGTAAATGAGTTTAAGTTGATATTTAAGTGGAAAACTATTTTAATTTGGGGGTCTAATCAAAGCAAAAGTGTGTGATCATAGACAAGAATAAAAAAATAATTAGTACTGTTATAAAGAAATTTTTGGGCTGGGGATGTGGCTCAAGCGGTAGCGCACTCGCCTGGCATGCGTGCGGCGCATGCAGCCCGGGTTCAATCCTCAGCACCACATACCAACAAAGATGTTGTGTCCGCCGAGAACTAAAAAATAAAAATATAAAAAAAAAAAAAAGAAAAGAAATTTTTGCCATCTGACTGACACATACCTGTAATCCCAATGACTGGAGAGGCTGAGGCAGGAGGCTTAAAATTTCAAGGCCAGCCTTAACTACTTGGTGACTTGGTAGGACCCTGTCTCAAAATAAAAAAGTTGAAAGGACTGGGAATGTGGCTCAATGGTAGAGGAAACCTGGGTTCAATCTCCAGTACAAAAAGAGAAAACAAATTCTCATTCTTTAGCTGAGGAATTCATTTTCTTCTGTATAGATGGCTTTATGCATGGAAAAAATGGAAATAATGTGTCTCATAATCTTTTTTTGCACTCTTAAAAATGAATACAGGCTTTTATTATGCATAAGAGAGATAAATGGATTTGTTTCTGTTTTGTCCTTCATGAAGTCATTAATTTCAGATATCAAGACACATGTCAAGGAAAGAATGACATTACATGAAAAAAGATGATGTCCCCTATTGTCATCTATGCAGGAATAGACATAGTCAAGTAGTATTTATTTTTGGCTTGTTAAAGCTCTTGAATATGTTAATAATCTTTAATTATTAGAATATTCTGAGCAGCAATCAATTCAGACCATAACATCTGATTATATATCATGTTTAGGAATGAAGTAAAATGCCTCAATTGAAGATAATATGGGATATTTACAAATTCCTAAGGTTAAAAGTGCATTTCCTAAAAATTCTAACCCCCAATTCTCAATCCTAATCTAAAAGGCATCTTTTCTCCTAGTTGACAGCCAGTATAGATCATTGATTTTACTGTTACCTAATTTGTGTACCTTGATGTCACTAGAGAATTTTTTAAGTTTTATAAGTGCAACTTTATGTCTAATGGATAATGTATAAAATGTCACATTGAGCTATTTTTCTCTTTTAAGAGCTTCCATAAAATAAATATGTGAGCTGGGTGTGGTGTTGCACACCTGTAATCTCAGAGGCTCTGGAGGCTGAGGCAGGAGGATCATGAGTTSAACGCCAGCCTCAACACTTAGCAAGGACCTAAGCAACTTAGCAAGACCCTGTCTCTAAATAAAATATATYAGAAAGGGCTAGGGATGTGGCTTAGTGACTAAGCATCCCTGGGTTTAATYTCTGGTACCTAGATAAATAAATAAATAAGAGAAACACATATTTCGTTCATTTTTTCTTTACACTATTGAATTAAAGTGTTATAATCTCCTTGTGAAAAGGCAGTGGCCTACAATGATTTGGGGTGCCTTAATTTGAAACCACCTATATAAAACACCATTTAACATGAAACAGAAGGTGGTCTTAAGCAGCTTTCACTGTAATTAAAGTAGCTGTTTAAACCTGAAATTTAACCTACTTTTAAATCGTTACTCCATTGTGGAATATTATTACTTTCGACACTCTCAGTTTGTGACATAAAAAGTCTAACAGCAACACCTTAGCCACGTTTTCTCTAAATGCAGCCAATTAAACCAGAACATAAATTGCCTTGTAATTGCTTCAGCCGTTCTCATCTCTGAAATCTTCCCTGTGGCAAGTTTCTTTCTTATACAAAAATGGAACAAAACTGTTGTTATAGAAACTGAGGGTTTGGAGATGTTTGGGTCTGAACATAATATGCCAGATATTGGTTAGATTTATTTGAATGGCCTTATATTTTATGCAAATTTCAGAATATTCATTTCCATATTCCTTGGAGGGAATAAGACAAGCTAAAATATTGACAATAACTACATAGATTACCTACCCTAGTCTGTACTGATTAGTAATGAGTGTTTTAAATACGGTTATATAAAGAAAATCGGGAGGGGAAATAAGGGCGCTGTCATTTATGTTGATTGCTTATTTTTTTCATAGCTCCTACGAAAGCGGCATATTGGAAATGATATTGTAACAATTGTTTTCCAAGAGCCTGGAGCACAGCCATTCAGCCCGAAAAATATCAGATCCCATTTTCAACATGTCTTTGTCATTGTCAGGGCTCACAGCCCCTGCACCGACAACGTCTGTTACAGGTATGTACCCCTACTTCGCTAGTGGCTAGGTGGACACTGACTGAGTGTCATGCAGAGGCCCCATCCAGCTTTGCTTTCTGAAGTGGCAGTGGAGAGTCTGTTACTATTTATTTTGGTCCTTAAATTGTGTATGCAGTTGAACAGATTCACACAATGACATAACCTGATGGCATTGGCATCCCCCAGACTCGTTAGTTAGACACCTGCTGTTTCCATTTGCACCTCCTCCTTAGGCAGTAGCCTTCATCCATACCATCTGGTTACTAACCAACTAATTACTCATAGTGTTAATTATATATAATACACACACACACACACACACACACACACACAGAGCAAAAGCAGAGATAAATTCTCATAATAAATGGGGAAGAGAAATTCACTTTTAAACAATTATTGTCATTAAAAAAGCCTAATCTTGTTTCTGACTTCTTGATTCACTGTCGTTTCTAAATATAACTTTAGAGGCATTTCTATACTTTCTTAAACATCTGTTGAAAATACTTCAATGTCAGTAGTTGACCAATCTCATGAGTATCTGAATTCAGAGGGCTTAGGTACTAAAGGAGATAGGACCTGTGATGCTGTCTTGATTTGAATGGAACCCCAAGAAGTGTAAGGATATTCTAGCATTTGTAAGACATGTCTAATACTCATCAAGCCTTTCAAAGTATGAAAGTTTAGCATATCTTTCCATCCATAAACTTTAGGTGTTAGGCTTTGTTAATCTTTTACATTCATTTTTGAAGTAATGTTGCTACCTGCACAGAAAGTGACCAATACAGACTAATAATGAGTTTGTGAGGTCCACTACTATCTAATTCTAGGGTAATGCAGGTTAATTCTAGGAGTAAAGCACTTTAGGGGTCAGAGTTAGTAAAGGTTACTCTGGACTGCTGCTGACTGCTGCTGTCCTTGCTTGCATCACAGGATGCATTCAATGAGGTCTTCCTGTAAGCTCAGTACCACTCTCTCTACCTTACATGTGTTACCTCATTTAATCTTGGTGTGTGTATATGTGTGTACATGTTCTTTATTTTTGTATTATATGTAATTAGAATTAAAATTACACTTGTGATTATTATCTCATGCATTCTTTGTGTTTTAACAGTTATTYCTATTGGCACATTGTACTTATGCATAATAGTGAGGCTTATTATGTCATTTGTACATGCACACAATATAATTTGTTCAGACTTATTCTCCAGTACTTTTCCTTTTCCCACACTTAATCTTTAAAACCTATGAAGGCAGGTACCATTTTTGTCCCCATTTCAGACAATGAAATTGAAGTACACAATGGCTATATAACTTGCCTGAGTCCAGCTGACTCTCACTGGGCAGAATCAGATGTAGATGGGGGGTTGGGTACTGGGGATTGAACCAGGGTCTTGTRTATGCTAGATAAACACTCTATCACTGAACTACCTACCCAGCCCTATTTTACTTTATTTTTCCATTCCATTCCTCCCCTTACCCTCTCCCTCTTTCACAAGCCATGAAAGGTGGGTTTTTGTAGTCCTTGTTCCTGACACGCAGCTATGTTCCAAAATTTCTCAGATACTTGAGCCTATATAAATACCCAAACCAGAGAGGTCTTCAGTTTCCCAAGTTCCAGGATGGAAACCCTGATAGTGTAGATCTACATCTGAAGCCCCTTCACCTAAGACATACTCTTTGAAATCTGCTTGGGTAGTTATAGAATGAATAAATAAGCACAGAACATTTGGCTATAATTGATATGGATAACTTTTTATTTAGAAAATACCTGAGCATTTGAAGCCTGCTATCTACTGGATTCATGTAAAAGGATTTCACACTACTTTGTAGATAGAAAGCTAAGCCCTTTTTGAATGGGCACCTGGAAGTTTGGGGAATGGAAAACTAGACAGTTTCTTCTAAAGAAAATTTATTATTTTCCAGGCTTTTGTCTAAATCAGTACTGTTCAGTAGAAATATACAAGCCAGGGCTGTGGATGTAGCTCAGCTCTATGGTGCTTGCCTAGATGCATGAGGCCCTGGGTTCAATCCCCATTACCACAAGAAGGGAAAGAAAAGAAATAAAATACAAATTACATATTAATTTGATATTTTTCTAATAGCCAGATTTTTWAAAAAGTAATAAGAAATGCGTGAAATTAATTTTGATACTGTTTTTTTTACCCCATATAATATTTTATTTACCAAATATATTTAAGTATTAACATTTCAACTTGGACTAGTGTGATTGTTAAAATTTAAAAAAAATACTGTAACATTTACATTTTTTGGACTAAGTCTTTGCAATCTGGAGTGTATTTTAGACTTAACAGCACATCTGAGGATGTTAAATTTTCAGTGGACATAATCTGTATTAAGATTTCATAAAACTTTCAATTGAAAAGGTGGATTTTTACACACAGATTGTTCCAGACACACTTTTAAAAAATATTTCAACTGAATTAAATGCCAGTTTTAAAATTTATATTAATTAAAATTTAATATTACTTAGTATTCCTTGCTCACACCAATCAGATTTCAAGTACTCAGAAGCTGTATGTTGTCAGTGGTCACCATAATGGACAGCACAAGTCTAAGCACACTGCTTAATGGGGCAGGAGTTATGGCCTTTTTCATTGCTTTGCTGTTTTGTTGTTATCTCTGAAACCATGATTTTTGCTTTCTCTTACATTTAATCTGTTGCCTAAAGAGCACATCTTTTTAACCTATCATATGACGCTATGGGAGTCTGCCAAGAGAAGCACACTGAATACCCCTACTCATGCCACACAGGTGTGTCTGAAATTTCCTAGTTGCCAAGCTTGACTGCAGCCCAACACATCTTTTGCTTTTCTCCATTAGTAAATCAAAGGGAACATACCAGTATGTAACATCACCAAAAGAAATCACAAGAAATTATAAAGTAATGACTTTTTCCTACTGTAAACTTTAGGTATCAAAATTTTCTTTGACCTTCTCAAATGAAGTAGGTTATGGTGAGGTATTTGGAGGCCCATGCAGCCTTTACTGTGGGAGGAGGCAATGAGGAGGAGCTTATTTTCTCAGGAAAATAGATATATTACAAAGCAGAATAGAAAATAGAAAAAAATAGAAAATCTGTGGCAATTTTAGAATAAAACTGAGTCCTCAAAGAATTTTCACAGCTGTAAATTTGTTACCTRCTGCAGCTATCCTCAGACTAGCAGGAATATGAATTTATATGCCTCTTTCATTAGAAGTACTTTGGTGTAAAGTTTAGAGCTACATTGATTTATTCTAATTTTAATTATAATTTAACTTTATTCCTGTGTGATGTAACTAGAGAAATTCAGATGCTTTTAATCATTTAAAATCTCTTCATTCCAATTTTCTCAAATATTTCTCATTTATGCTTATATGTTTATTTGCTGAAACCTACTTGATGTCTGTGGTCTGGAACTTGGAAACTTTTTCTCAGGGAAATATCTTATTATAAACATGTAGAGAAATTCAGGGTCAGTATAGACTGAAGTTATAAAGGATGTGAAGAAAATGGATTCAGTGTATGTTTTAAACACAGAAGGAATTCAATGAGAACAAAATGAATTATTTTACGTGGTCAGGGGTAGGTGCAGTAGGAGCATAGGGACAGAAKGGAGGGTGAGAAGCCTCGGTAAGCAGACCCCTGGCACAAGAAAAAGGAGGATGAGGCAGTAGAGGCCCTTGGAATTCAGGGAAACCTTTGTAAAATTTTAGAAAAATGTACCCAGTGTTTCTATGCAAGGTAATAGGTAATTTTTACACAGAAAGATACGTTTGGAAGTTGTTTTTATCTTTCATTTTTCACTAGTTCTTTTGTCAAATACTTTTTTGTGTATGTGCCGGGCACTATTCTAAACCCTGGGATTTAACTGGAGGACAAAAAAAAATTCCTACAGTCAATCCAGAGAGAAGGTCCTAGAATAGTATGTCATTAAGCCTTCCTGGGGACTGGAAAGTTTAGGAAAAACTGACTAATTCTAGAAGCCAAATAACTTTGAATGGCCATGACAAAGCCAAGGACTGCGATATCAGTCACAATGACTGCATACAAAGCTTACCCTATAACTGATCAAAGGGCCCTCCAGGCCCTGTTCTGTTTGTATCATTGCAATAAGCTTAATTGCTTGGTCTCAGTTGATAGAGCAGATTAGAAGCTGCAAATCAAAAAGATGAAGGAGCAGCAAAAGGCAAGAACATGCTAAAAACATCAATATGTGATTATGTTAGAGGAGATGCAGAGAAAGTATTCACATTAAAGATACAAATTCAGTAAGAATAGTAGTCTGGGACATCTGCTTTGAGAACAAATAACCAAATATACTTTACTCACCCCTGAGGGCCTCACCTTGTAAAAACAGTGTTGAATATCACCATTTTTCAACAACTAATGAATTATTGGATCTGGCATTGATCATCAAAGGCTGCAAACGTCACCAAAAAAAAAAAAGATGTGTGCTCTTACAAGGTAGTCATGTTTCCTCTCTCCTCAAGTTAAATATGAATCTGATCAAGGCTCTAGGCAAGTCAGTTTATAGGACATGGAAAAGACATAGGAGCACCTTTAGTTGACAAGATTCAGATTCTGGACAACTCCAAATAAGAACAGACCAGTTTTCTTCAACAGRTAAATTACAAGAGATAAAAGGATGGGAGAAGTGCAGGGGAATCCATTAAATGAGAAATTTTTTAAAAGATGGACTAATTAATTACAAGGTGTTGATTTTA